CTCTCCCGATCTAGCAGGAACTGGCATAGGCATGAAAGCATTCAAACCAGTGGAACTTGAAGTGATCCCAGAAAGAAGCTCCATTGCAGAAAGGTGAGAAGCTGTTGTGGCTGGAGTAGTAGTAGTAGTTGAAGAAGAAGAAGAAGCAGAAACTGAAGCTGACATATTGCTGTTGCTACTATTGTTGTTGTTATTTTGTTGAACCAATTCAGATATGTTTCTGAAATCTGGGACGGTTGCTGGAAAAGCCAAATTGAGATCTTGGCCTTGATGAACATTATTATTATTCTTAGGGTTTTGAGTGTGTGACAAAGTTGGAGGTGAGATGACTAGATCAGGAACATTAAGCTTCTTATTATTAGGTGTGGAAGAAGAAGAAGATCTCTTGTTCTTCCTTGATCCACCTCCTACAGGGATGTTTCTGAGGGATCCACCTTCAGTCCAATACCTTCTACAAGTCTTGCAGAAATAGCGAGGCTGTGTGAGGCTGTAGTTGTTGTAGTAGCAGAACTTGGTGTTAATTGAATGACACCTTGGACAGTTAAGGGCTTGTTCCTTCTGTGGCCTTGCCTTCTTTTCCACACCCTTTGGACATGTATTTGTCACTACTATATCTTCTATTGGTTTCACCACCATCTCCTTCAATAACATATCATGCACAAACAAGTTATATAATTAATCAAACCATGCAGGTTTGTGTATCACGCAATTAACATACAAGAGAGGTTAACTAATTAATAAATAATAATTAATTTACTCAGTGTACACTTTTCACGATCGAAAAAGGGGGAGTACTGAATACATGTGTAGTTTTTGCTAAAGAAAGAGGTGGTGAATAATAGATTAAATGGAAACTTTTTGATGATGTTCTTTATGTTGTGGCAAAAGCAAAGGAAAAAGTGAGAAAGCGAAAGGTTAAAGAAAATTGATAGATAAGGGGGGTTGCAGCAGGTACATATGGATTACATACCTGTGGCCAGTGAGCTGTGTCCATGGATGAATGAAGATGTGAAGAGAGGATGAAAGGATGAAGTTGAAGGCAAGTGAAGTTGCAAGAGAAATGATGGTAGCTTTTGTATTTTAGTTGCAGAAAGAGAAAAGGGGAATGTTAGAGACCTGTGCGAGAGTAAGTGTGTGACGGTGTATGTCAAGAATATGGATCACCTTTATCAATTTTAATAGTCTAAGACAAGATGGGTGGGTTAATTAATTAAGTCATTTTTTTTCTTCATCTCACCGGTCACCGTGGTATATGAAATACTAGTATAAATATAAATATTATATTCCAACTACTCATCGGTGTAGCTGTGGGAATACATGTATGCACTATAAAATTAAAAGATGCAATTACACCCCATTTTAGGTGTATGACTAGAAAGTAGAGAGAGAGGGGTACCGTTAAACAGGGTTATTGAGAGAGAAAAAAAAATAGAAATTGGTGGATGTAATAATGATTTTTAAAAAATAGAAGAAAAAAATAACATTTTATTCTCATTTACTCTTTTTTCTATTTTCTATCTTTTGTGATGACCGAGTTTGAAAGAATATTTCTTTGTTAGATAAGGGATCTTTTTCGTTTTAATGGATATTTATAACATCTTAAAATTGCTACCTCGATCAAATAATAATTATCTTTAAAATTGATTCATTTAGTCCACTTACAATAATGTGTCACATATCTCTCACATAAGATATAAAAATCTAAAAGAATAAGTCTTGATAGAATTAAATTCATGGACTACATTAAATTTATAAAATTTGAAAATTACTTGATATTTCGTAACATTAATTCAACTGACTTATATAACTAAGTATCACACATGTGTGTATGTGTGTGAGATTTGTAATACATTTCAAATTTTATGTCTCAATGGCCACATTCTATGACCATGACACTTCATATAGTGAAACTTCACTTAATTTTTTATTAGTCAGAATATCTTACCGATTAAATCTTTTGTGGGTAGTTCTTTTTAAGATATTCATCCTCCTTTATGATCAACTACAAATTAACATAAGATTTTTTAACATATTTTTATCACATTTGTACACTTTCTTAAAAAATCTCAAAAAATCACTTATCTTTAAATCACTATAAGTCAAACACACTTATTTGTGAGATTTTTAAGTAGTGATTATCAAAAAGTATATTCATTTTGTTATTATAGGTAATACTAATAATTCTTTTAAGTCATTATCAACTTACGATCTTACACCTATACACATATATGCATTTAAACTGGAAAAATTTCTTAGGTAAAAGAATATTTAAAAAATGTCTAAGTATATTGTCTCCTGATTCGATTGAAAAATTTAAGAGAAATTACTATAGCTTCTATTCAAAGAGGAGAACTTGGTATAGATATTATGATGATTCAAAATCAGAAGAATTTAACTCTTCCAGACCTAAGGAAAAATAAAAAATTTATTAAATCCATTTTGCTTTTTCTTTTAAAATATTTAGAAACATTTTCAATTTTTCCCTTGAAATTTTTAGAACTAGAAAAATTGAAAATTGAAATTGTTTCATTTTTTTTTTAGTTCTTTAAAAATGGGATCAAAAAATAAAAATATATTTTTTGTAGAACTAGAAAAGGGCAATTTCTTCTGATTTTGTGTGTTTGGATTCTAATAAGAGAGATGTGTATATTTTTTATCTTATAAATAAAAAATATTGTTAAAAAATTATAATTATACATATATTTTTTATTTAATTTATATTCTCATTAAATTTAAATGTTATATATTAAAAAAATGTTATCAATAAAATAAATAATGAATTAAAATTCAGGTATTAGTTCAAATAATATATTAAAAATATTACGAGCTTAAAATAAAAGCATTATTTATCAAATACTTATATAAAATAATCAATCAATTAAACGAAAGTGGGAGAGTTGTCGTTTAAAATTAAACAAGTAACTCCCTCAAAAAAAAAATTAAACAAGTAACAAATCTTTTTGATATGACAAGCGGAGATTGGTGCAGGCCAACCTCGTAACTTTTTTCTTTCTTTATACTCCATTCTCCATAGACTACGCTTGCCACACTGCAACACGAGTTAACATTTTGTTATTTTCTTCCGAACCCTGTTTTTAAGTAGAGAAAAAGAAAAAGAGGGACATCAAATGTATACAAAGAAAAAAAATTGAATAAAAATATAAATTATTGAAATTAAGATAAAATAAAAAAAAATAATTTTTTATCTTGTTTTAAATAATAATAATAATAATAATAATTTGCAGATATTAACCATCACATTATATTAAATCAAAACAAAAATATATGTATCTGTACAACAGAAAAAAAATGCACATACTAGAATCGAAACAATATTAGGGATGACAACATTTATATCTATACATTTCCATAAATATTTATTAATTTTAAGGTAATTTCAGGTGTTAATTTAATTAAATTGATCATGGAATCCCACTTGCATGTAGATATCTATATTCATAAGGACTATTGAGGAGGGAAAATGTAAGTGGGTAGGTTTTATAGACATTAGGTGGGAATGAATAATGATGATGTTAATTGACTTTGGCCATACCCATGTCCAAGAGGAGCGTCTTTTCCACTCTCATTCTTTCAAACCTTTTCCTCCTTCAACATTTTTAATTATATATCTACCACTATACTATATGCATTATTCATCACTCAATTTGGAAATCTATCCCAAAACTATTTTCCAGATTCATTTTTATATAAACATGTCATGTACTATAAGAGATTCTTATGTTTAAATTGGATAAAAATTTATCTTTAAATATTTAACACATATATCTTATAATATTACTAATTAAATTATAATATCTCACACTAAATAATGTGCGTTTGAGATAGTGATTGACTTATCCTCTGGATATACTAATAATAAGCCTAATTTTCAACTATATGCTTCTCTAGCTACCATTCTCCAATTGGACATAGTGTAATCAACTTCGATAGTATACCATTTTCATACTTTGTCAGATTTGTCCGCAACTTCATGTATGCTTTTAACTTTTTAATCAAGTGATGCTAAAGGTATTTAAACTTATAATCTCACGTAAATCACAATACTTTTTTTTTAATGACCAACACAATCTTAAAAGATTGATAGTTTGACAAAGATCGATAAAGTCCAACATAAGAAGTTATTCCTTTCCTGTTGAATTATATTATATATATCTTTTATAATAGATATTTCTTTAAAACTTATTAATTATGTATGTTATTATGATGAAATATTTTTTTAACAAAAATACCACGATTAGAAGAATTATAATGTAATTAAGAATTCATTTAATTATTTAGTGAGATACTACTGGTGAGTAGTGAATGAGAGTGTTAGCTCCTGTAAAGTGGGAACATTGCATTAAAATAAAGTAATAATTATTGATTAAAAAATAAATAGATAATATTATAATTAATTTTAAATTTTATTTTGCATTTTATCACACATCTTAATTATTGATTTTATAATAAATAATTATGAGCGCACTTTGTGAGGACCCTATTTTCATTTTTCCATTTTTACCCTTACTCATTTTCAGCCTCACTCACTCTTCCTTATACAAGACTTTCTTTCCCTCTAAACCCTCACTCATTTTCTCTCAAATTTCCTTGTGGTGAATCTTGGTGACCGTAGGTGCAGGTGGTGTGAGAGCTGATTCCTTGTCCGAGAGCTAATTCCGCAAGCTTGTTCTTCCTCTCTGTTCAAGCTCTTTTTCACTCTTCTTCTTCTCCGTTCAAGTTCCCGAAAGCTCGAAAATCTTTGCCCGAGGTAAGAGAAGCTAGTCCTTTGCTTTGTTTGGCTGAAAACGAGATCTGAGAACTCTTTGGTGGTAGGGTGTTTGCTGCATTTGAGCTGAGAACTGTTGAAATTGCTGATTTGGGGGTCTTTCGAGTTTTTTTGGGGTTTTTGGAGAAATTTTGGGAAATTCCTTGGATTGTGTTTGCATGTTGAAAATGAGGCATTTTTATTGATATTTGATGAGATTGGGAACTTTTGGCTGGATTGCATGTGGATTTACTGTTAAGTTTTGCAAGATTTGGACAAATTTCGAACTTGGGGATGGTTGCTGTTGAATTCGCGCTGGGCGCTGTTCTTCGTGTCGGGCGCGTGACCACCAGGAGACTCTGTTTAGGCAAGCCCGCTGGGCGCAAAGCTGTGTGCGCCGGGCGAGCTTGCAAATGGGAGTCTCTAGTTGGCCCGCGCCGGGCGTGACTTGGGTTGCGCCGGGCGCAATATCAATGGTGACACATTTTGGGAACTATGGTACCGCGCTAGGCGCGCGTTTGGACTCGCTGGGCGCGGAGGCTCCTTGGGAGTCTCTGCCAAGAGAGCGCTGGGCGCAATGCGAATTGCGCCGGGCGCGAAACCTTGGTAGGTCTTTGCCTTCCCCACACTGGGCGCGGGTTAGGCCTCGCTGAGCGCACGAGACTCCTTAGAGTCTCTGCCTGGCAGGCGCTGGGCGCAATTGGAATTGCGCTAGGCGTGTGAGAGCCTTGGACTCTCGGGTTGAGTCTCACCGGGCGCGAGTACTCTTGTGCTGGGCGCGATGGCCCCTGGTGCTCTCGGGTTGAGCTGCGCTGGGAGCGACCTCGAGTGCGCCGGGCGCGAAAGGAGATATTGAGATATATGATGTTGGCTGTTGAATTGTGCTGAGATTGTTAATCAATGTTGTTATATGCTGAACTAAGTGGTATTTGATGAATATGCTGTGATGACTAGGTGATAGTGCTGAGAAAATGATGTGAGGTTGTATTAGGGATGTATTGTTGAGCTGGAATCAATGAATTAAAATGTAAAACTTTATAGTATAGTGGAACTATAGAGGGTTGGGCTGAATTGTGAAAATAAGTGTGTTGAATTGTTGTGCTGTGTAATGCTGTGCTGTGTTGTGTTGTGCTGAGTGGTGTGATATTATAGCCGCTAAGTCGGTGCTATTATTAGCCACATATGTGGTGCTGTTATAGCCGCTAAGTCGGTGATGTTGTTGCCGCTTTGTGGTACTGTTATAGTCACTTGAGTGATGCTGTTATTGATGTTAAGCAGTGCTGATATTGCCACATTGCGGTGCTGACATTGTTGCGTGCTGTGAGTGGTATAAGTTGTACAGGTGTGCTGATAGCCATAGCGGTTGTTTATCATATTGATATATATTTGTATGTTGATTTTTAATTACACTAGCTTACCCTTTTATT